AAATTAAAATATAATGAAATAATTTTTGTTAAAGTGGATGTTGATGAAAATGAGGAAACATCAGCCGCTTATAAGATTAATGCCATGCCAACATTTGTTTTTATTAAAGATCAAAAAGAAATTGTTGAAGCAAGAACAACAGGGGCGGACAAAGTACGATTATTAGAAATGATAGAAAAATATAAATAACTTTTTTGTAAGTAACTATAATAACCCAAGAATGACATCAAAAATGTCTTCGTTTAGTTATTATTGTAGACAATATGCTATAATCCTTTAAAATATAGCTAGCTGTACTTCTATTTTTTTAATGTGCTTTAAAAATCTGCTTGTTCGATCAGTATCAGCACAATAATCATTATTAAATAATAAACATCGATTCTGTTATACGAAATGGTTGGATTTAATCCAAAGGATCAATCCGTATTAACTAATGTTGATTACGAAACCAAGTTTTATAAGGTTCCTGTAACAGATGAGAAAACTAATGTAGTCTGTTAACATCATATTGAATAAAATGTGTTTTCTCGAGATGGTTAGACAAAAAACATGTGCAACAATACTACTCTCAAATAATGTAACGGATGGCTCAGATTAAATGGGACAAGATCATTTTCTTTTTTTTGGGCTACTCTAGAGCTTCGTTTTATGCTATCATTTTTCTTGTTTGAGTATCATTCAAAATATTGAATGGTCTTAAGTTGTCGGACTGTGACACACCGAAAATAGAAAAATATTTGCTTTGATTCGAAAACAGATTCCAGAAGTAATTTGAAAACATCAGAAAATTCATCGAAAAATTCTGCATCTCACATATCTTTCAAAATTGTGCAGTCAAGTCTTCTAGGAAAAATTTTCTGTGCAATAAACTGATAAATCTACAATAATCTAACTTCTGACCTATTTTTCACAGACTTCAGTTTTTTGGCTGTGAAAGCAGTAAGACGTTCGGAGTCGAGGCTTTTAGTCTTACTATCTTACACAGAATTCAATTCTGCATTATTTGATATATAAATAAAGTGACAAGAGACGAAGAAAGCACGTCGCAGTGCGACAACTCAGCCCCATTCAATATTTTGAGTGGTACTCAAACAAGAAAAAGCTATCGGAGATTGAAATAACAGATTTTGTAGAGAATTCAATTCTCTATCGATCATCAAGCGAAGTTCTGGAGGTTAGAGTCCTGTTACCGTGACTTTTTCGTTACCATTTACCATACCATTACCATCGATGTGATTTTTTTCTTTACCATGACCATTACCACGGCGAAGAATGTTTTACCATTACCATTACCATTACCATTACCATGGTAATGGTAATGGAATTTCCACGGTAACAGAACATATTCGAACAGAAAGGAAAGAAAAAAATATAAACAC